CTGTTATTTCAAACACATGTTATTTTAAAGATCGATAACAGGTATCGACTGTTCCATATCGATATCTGTTCCAAAATACCTGTGCAAGTATTTCGTGTCATCCCTAGGCAGTTGAATCAGAAACCAGTTGTATGCAAAACTGCCGTCGAAGTACAGTACACACATGGTTGCTAGATTTTTCATAATAAGTTGAACCAGAGGTAAAACTTTATCCACGTGCGTGAAACAGCCCAGATAGTTTACTGTGTTCGGTTACAAAAGTTGCTGAATTGAATTTGTGCATGTCGGTTGTCGAAAAGAAGCTGATATACGGTATGTATTAAAGTTTATTGATTGAACTTTGGCCACTCTTTTTTACATCTAATTTAAAATTTTCGAAAAAATGTTGAAAACGAAAGTTGTTATTAGTAGATATTATTATAACCTATATTTTATTTTAAGATAATATCAATTGGTACAGGGTGTAGTAATACACGTGGCAGACAAAAGTTACGTTTTTTTAAATGGAATGTTGTACTTTTAATTGCATATTCGAACTGCGCGTGAAATTCTAAGCCTATTCGGTATAACTCTTTTAATAGATTTTCAACTGTTTTCGACATAATAAGCAATATTGATTGAACTTTGGCCACCACGTTTTAACATAAACTTTCAAATTTGGGCAAAAATATTCCTACATACACGGAAGTTGTAGATTTTTACGTCTCAATTATTTTAAAATAATATCAGTTGATACTAATAAGTGGCAGGCTAAACTTACATTTTTGTAAAATGGAACGTCGTACTTTTTATTGCATATTAGCACTATTTACAAAATTATAAGCCCATTGGACGTAAATATTCTATATTGATTTTTAACTGTTTCTGAGATAATCAATATTGATTGAACTTTGCCCACCCCGATTTATATTTAGAGTTAAGTCTTAAATACGAAATTTGTATATATTATTAGATGATATTTTTTTAATGGAATGCCAATATTTTACCCAGATTGCATTCAGCATTCGAAAAGTATCCCAGAATGTTAAAAACATATTCAGAACATTACGGGGATATCCTGGAAATATACTTAAGTGAACATTCCAAAAATGAATGTTCGTTGAATATACTATGGATAATTGTAAATTTGTCAAAACTACAAACACGGTGATTCAAATATAAAATAATTAATTGTACTAATATTTCAAGTTAAATTAATATAAACTTGTTTGAAACGGGACAACCCATTTTAGTTGCCATAATTTCGGTACAAATGTTATAAAATATATAAAAGCCTTGAAAAAAAATGGATAAAACCGGTACTTCAGAGCACGTGCAAAAGTGAAAAAGGCTGTAATGTACGTGTTATAGACTGTGGCCTGTGACAGAACCTTTAAATATAAAACTAACTGAATATAAAAAAATAATTTCATATAACTGAATAACTTATATAAAAAGTTAGTTTTATATTCAAAGGGCAGAACGTGACTTCCTGTTTCGGAGATTGTTTATAGGAACCTTTTTTTATAAATGCGCCAACGTTATAATTGTATTGGTATAAATAAAATTTATATATTACTCAAATACATTTATTCGGAGATAACAGTTAAAATTAAGAATAAGAACAACGTGTTTCTGCTTTCTTGCCTGCTTTTGTTTTTGTATATGTACGATGTATGTCACGAACTTTAATTTGACAATTTAGTTAATCTTTATATATATACATATTTCTTGTATTCGTGTGTATTTCCTAAACGACTGGACCTATTTTGATGAATTTTTTTGTGCGTGTTCAAGGGAGTTTGAGAAGGGGTCAGATTCAAATTTTGAACCACAGGAAAATGTTTCTTTAATTTACTTTTTTATTTGTAAGAATTTGTTGATTTTGGAATGTCTCACATTGGATCCGCAAGTCTGCGCTACCACAACTTAACCTACTCCACCACCCTAACCTACCAATTTATTTATTAGTCTGTCCCGACCAGCGATGCCAACTCTACGCATTTACCCGTAGATCTACGGATTTGGAGCTGATGCCCACTTGCACCAAACATTTAAGAAAGACTTAAGGTTATGATTAGCGTTAAGTTCGAGCCTACCTGCAAAAATGGATTGCACCAACCGATGACACGATCTTAAGTTCGTCTTTGGAAATCTTAAATTTAAGGACTCGTTCTCGAGTACTTAAGCATGACTTCCTTCTTCCAACCTTACTTTAGTCGCTAGTTAGTCAAATATACAGCATACGTATATGAATTGTGTAATAATAATGTCCTATTTTCAAAAAATAAGTACCTACGTACATCATGAATTATTAATTTCAACGTTTTATTAGCGCCCTTTCTGACAAATTGGGAAAATGAGAGATGGCGGAGTTTCATTTGGCTGTACCCAATCACCATCAAAAGCAGCAAGTGATTGATTCACGCCATACAAGGTCTTATTATTTACAATGGATAATAATATTTTATCTGCAGTTTTATAAAGTTTTTTAATCTGAATGGAAATGTGCTTCCGGATGCCTTCTTTTTGGTTATTGTGGAATTTCCGGATTATTGCTGTCGTAGGCGGAATTGTTGTTTAAAAATTAATTATTAACTGTTTTAATAAATAGCATTAAATTGGCCCGACATTTTCTACCATGTTGACTGCTTTTCTTGCGAAGATACAGCATCTGGTTTTTTTATTGTTATTATTTTTATTATTATATTTTTTATTTTCCGTGATCTTTATGAAACGCAACGAGCTCTAAAGAGTATCTCTTTCAGAAGCGAAAAAAATTGGGAAACCCTTTCTGTTTTGCAGCCGTGAGTGAAACAAAATTTTAAAAAGGTCTCGAATTTCGGTTAGAAACAACACAGACATGCAGAACAGAAAGAAAAATACAGAGTTGCCGGTTATTGCCTTAAGCTTAGCTAAGAACACGTGAAAAACGGATGGTGCAACTCATTGAAACTTAAGTCGGACTTAAATTTCAAGTAAGTAAGGGACGTGCTTAGAAGAAGTTTGGTGCAAGTGGGCATGAATGCTCCGATATACGGACAGCTAGTCTATTTATAATTCGTGCTCTTCGGTTTTCCATTCCTCGCAGCTACGGCACTTGTTGAATATCCCTTCGCCATTAAAGTAATTATTTGAATTTTTTCAATTACATTTGCATATGGCATTTTGACAATTTTCAAAAATTTTCTCGGTGGCCAAAGTTCAATCAATAAATATAAAAAATATATGGCCAATAAGGTTTTCTTCTTTTCAAAAATTTCAAATGTTCAATTAAAAAAGGAGCAATTAGAAAAAATTATTCACAACAAAACTCAAAGATCCTTCCCCAAAGAAACCTAAATTTGTCTGAATGACAATTTCAGATAAAACTTCTTCCATGTAGCTAAAACTTAATTAAATCATTTTTTGTTGCATGTTGGGAATACAGAAAGCCAGTACATTAAATACTCTAATAGCTAAACCATTTGTCGTGAATGCAAGAAGGTAAACTTCGCTTCATCTAGCAGCAATAATCTTTCACCGAAATCATCGTAAACCACATGGCCGATTTATCATTGTTGATGTCAGCAAACTCTACGGATGAGGTTGAACGATTCGTAGCTGCAGGAGCCGACATTTATGGCACAAATATCAGCGGGGAGACATTGTTGCATCTGGCCGTTAAAGCTGGAAATACTGAATTTGTAAACTTGTTTATTGCGTACGGATTGTCTGTAAATGCCAGAACACCATATGGACATACGCCATTAACGTATGCAGTTCAAGGCGGATTCGTCGAAATTATGGATCGTCTTATAGATTTCGGTGCTGATTACAAGATAATGAACCCTATTGATCAAAATATAGTTCACTTGGCAGTGGCAAAAAACCAAACAGAAGCATGCAGGCGGTTGGTCACTCTGGATATCAATCTTAACCAAAAGGACCGGAACGGAATCTCTCCATTACACTCAGCAGCGGGAAGAAACTACTGTGATATAATTAAAATCCTGATCGAAAACAACGCCCATATTGACCTACGAAACTATGACAATGCTACTCCTTTGCATATGGCAGCTGGTAGGAAAGAATGTGGAGACGCAGTTGCAGTATTGTTAGAGCAAGGCGCTGCAGTTGATGTAGTGACTTATAATGGGGACCTTCCTCTGCATAAAGCAGCAGCATCTGGAAATAAGCAAGCAGTAAAGTTTCTTTATCGGAAAGATTTTCAAATCCGGAAAAACCGATGTGGACTCACACCTTTGATGATGGCACAAACCTTTGGAAGACACTCAGTGGTGCGTTTACTCAAGGAACTGGAAATGCACAAGCCACCAGTTCCATATCTGCCGATGAAGATTTGATTAATATTGATTAAATAAATACTTTTCTCGAAGTTTTCTATTTTATTGAGTAGGTCAATTGTGGTTTGTTTAGTAATAATCGCGCTCCGCAACGCTGCCACATATGACAGAATATAATTAATTTGGTAATTTGGTAGCTCAATCTAGGGGGTCGTTCGTATGTTCGCAACCATCTAGTATAACTTTTGAAAATGTTTTATCGGCTTCTACCAGTGGCGTCACACTTGAAACTCTGAAAATGTCGAGTACAGAGTGGGACTAGCGACATCTAAGAAATCGATCGAAATTTTTATTTTTCTTGATCTTTGAAAAATCATTGCCTCCTTTCCAATATCGCTTGATGCCGGTCAGATGTTGAAACAATGTAAATGGTTTAAGAAGATACCGTATAACTACCATTTTATGGACTAGATGACCCAAGAAAGCTCCCTCTCTATATCTTAACGAATCTCAAAAATTTATTATATTTTCCTCAAATCATAGCAATGCCGAACTCAACTTGCGTATAACGATTTACGTGATTGTCTAGATTTCGATCGTGCAAACCCTAATTTACCAAAAGTTCCAAAGCGGCAGAGAACCTGTTTGCTACGTTCATATGGAATGGCATTTGATAGTTAGCAGAAATGTATGGCGGCAACATTTCGTAGACATCCATACAGGACATTTTATAGCTCTATCCAGATCTGTTTTCTATGTGTATCTGGAAGAGTTATTCAAGCTTCATGTGATGCAGAGCGATTATTTATCGCCCTTAGCGCGAGTAGAAAATGGCCACATTAACAAGAACATGTCTTGATTATTACTGCTATTAACGGCTACAAGTTTTAATGCAATTCAAATAAAAAACGTAAAGAATGTTTTCAAATGTTACAAATTTGTTTAAAATTTTGCATAAATATTCTTGTCCGAATATTTTCTAGTTTGCGTTGAAAGAGCAAATATTTACATAGTAATCTTTAATCTCGTGGAGCCTAGATAGAAAGTTATAATGGGCTTTAAGTTTTAAAGTTGCTGGCAGGATTGCCAAGGAACTGAGCTTTACCGAAAGACAACTTTAAGTTTGGTGGTTCGCTGGCAGCAAGCCATTAATTAACTAAGTAATAAGGGGCGACCAAGAACTTACCTTCCCTTTTATTTAAATTTTAATTATTTTATTAAGAAATCATAACTTTTTTGACTGGAAAGTTTACACATTAGTTTGATTGCAGATCCGCCAAACGATTCATTCTAATGACCTCTTCAGCCGTTCGTGATAATACGAGATTTTTATCGGGGATATCAAACGTGGCTTAACAACGAAAGCCCACAAGGGACGACTATTTTCCTCTATCTGCTCGATGTTTCGGCTTTTCGCGAAGCTCTAGAAGGAGGCTTATTTTCCAAGCCGGATTACCATTTTTACGACAGGTCAAATTTGCTACCAGGAATTTCTATACGTTCCTTTTTGTCCTCTGAGCTGGGAAAGTAGGCGCAAAATTTCGCATTTCGATAAAGTAAAATGTTTTATTGATCAATTTAAATGAATGATTTAATATTGTCTGTTTCAGCGAAAAACCCTGGCAAATCTATCGCAATCTGCAAACTTCGCGCATTTTACATAAACTCGAAAACATGCCATGAAAGAGTTTTTAATGTTCAAAGTGCTAGCTTTTACGGCAACATAATTTATCCGATACAGCTTAATAAGGACTCGATGCTTCGAGCTATAATTTAGCACAAAGTTTAAGCCAATTTTGTCATTTTAAGGGCGAAATGTATTTCCGATGCCATTAACGATGTTAACGTAGTTTGCGCTAAATATGCAAAAAGCTTTCCAATGGAACTTTTATAAATATCAGAATTCCCTAAGTGGTTGTAAGCAAAGTCGATCGAGGTCCGTTTATCCCTGAAAAATTGACCGATTTGGTCTTTGAAAAATGTGTAATAAAGATTTTGCAAAGCCCATAAAGAAGCAAATTCATTGAACCACTTGAAATTAATATACAAATCTGGCAGACACCTTCGGAAAATCTATAAAACCATATCTTAGAAAGTTTCGTTATTGAAAGTAGATGCAACCTGTACCTTGGGATATAAATTAATTCGATTACATTTGCCTTCATTAAAAAGCTATTTTCACTGCAAGTTTCCTGGAGGAACAACACGACGTATATTCATAATGTATCCGCCTGGGCAAATTTTAAAATCCCTAAAACCAAGCAATCGGCTGCTTTAAGCAAGTATAATTCACCATCTATTGCCACTGTTCCTCAGACATTCAATTAACGAATGCTGTTGTTGATTAAACATTTGCCCGCCAGCAATAATATAAAGTTATTCGATGTGGGCGCTTGGATAAAGATACAAAGCCGATTTGCGTTTACATTTCTCGCGATTCGGAAGCTTATTTCAAATTCAAACCTTTGCCTCCACGAATTGAGGTATGTGCGTCTGCTTTATTTGCAGCAGACTGATCAAATTATAAAATCCATATCGGCCTTTCTGTACTGTCAACCAGAGCCAAATATAATAGTCGACTAAGCGTGGCAAAAAGAGCATTCATCTGGAATATTCAAAGCCGCTACGAAGTTACAATCTGGATTCGCTTTTCAAGGAAATCGCTTTCTAGTATTTATTTGAACAAATTGCGCCGAATTTGTAGCAAGAGCATTTGATGCAGGACGAGGAGAGATCTTGAAGTACTTTGCAAGAGTCCGGAGGAAGACTTTTCGGGTTTGGCTTTTGTAAAGTGTCGGTCATTTTTTATTCTACATGCTCGATTTGGCAAAGCTGCCCATCGAATTATTTGATCTCACTTTTTGATATTTTACGCAAGTGGATGAATTCTTTCTCTCCTTGTGAGTCAGTTACTTTTGATCCGATCTTCATATGTCCTCTGTTTGGTTTCCTTTCTGTTCTTTTGTCTGGTTTTGTTCTGGTTTTTTGTTACATTAGCTTTTAGAGTATTGCACGTTTCTTCATTGCCTTTTCTCAACGTCCTCAACATTTATCTACATTTTAGGGCTTATTTGCTTCCTGCTTCCTGCTTCCAAAGCTTTTAAGTTGTTGGGCGTCCAGCTTGGTTGTGGTTTGGTTTTAGTATAGCGGTCACAACTTTACCAGGAATCCTGCCAAAATATTCCCTGGCGACGTTGGCTTCTTAAATTTTTGAATTCAAATTTCAGAGCATATGCTATACCATTTGAAAATCACTACGTTTCTTGAACAAAGGCCTTGATATCTGACGATGTGGGAAGTTGACTAAACCATTCACCACGGAATTCTTGGCTACTCCCAATGTTCGGCAATTTTTTGAATCTAAAGTGCATTAACAGAACCGACTATGATCAATACAAGGTTATCACTAAATATAAAATCTTCATGTCCTTGAATTTATGTTAACGACTTTAGGCATAAATGTAAATTTGTTTGTGAAAAACGTTTTCCTTTAGCTTTAAATAGTCCCAAAGCTAGCACTAGTCTGGAAATGTATATTTGCGCAATTATAGCCGGCAAATTGTCACGGCAATTTCATGTGCGCCAACAGTTGTTCCCGACGAAATTATCTGCTAGATGAAGTTATCCGGAGATGAGATTTGGCGCTTCATAAAATATTACATGCACAACTCTTCAGATTATTTTTTAAAGAACAGTCTTACTTGTTGTCTTAGTTTAGCTTCTGTTTCCAAACTATTTAAATTTTCCTTTAAAACTCGCTCAGATTCCGCCTGAAAAACTATTTCAATTTTAAATTTTAAAGATTCTGATTTGACTGCTTCTTGGATACCGTTGTTAAAATTTTCTTGTTTTTGTGCACTAATTTTTTATGAAACTTCGTATAAACCTTGAATTTCACCTAGATAATCTTGCGGTCCACAGACGCTTCTTACGCTCATCCACATTTGAAGCTCCTCTTTTGAACCGCCTATACAATTTTCAGCAGCAAATCTGCCAATTCCCAATAAATTCGAAAATAATGTAAAATACCAAATGGCTCCTTCAAGAAACTGCCGCTCAGTCATTTGTCTCTATCACCTTTATTCCGATCAGCCAAGAGCGAATCTATTTAACTTCACTCGATTAGCTTCCTGGGGAATCGCGGTGTTTCGTTTATGTTATGTTTTTTCGTTCTCTTGGGTTAAAGAGACGTGCTTGTGACTAATTTATTGGAGATAATCCAATGGATCTCGTTTGGATTCCAAAGAAAAGTATACAGCAACTCAAGAAATATTTACAAAACTCAAAGGAGTGTATTCATAAAGCATAATGCAACTAACTATAAGAAGCATAAAGTTGCGTGCACCATTCCCTGGAATAGTCGAGTAATTCCATGTATTCCGAGTCGATAAGCGGATGGAAAACATCCATCCAACTACCATGTGAATGAAAATTTAATAAGGCAAGTAAAGGTTAGCTGCAGTGTGCTCGATCGAATAAACTAATGAAAGTTGCAACATTATGAAACTGAAAAGAGAAACTACATGAGAACGCAATCAACTATTCCTATAGGAATCACATGCTGTACTTAATTCCAAACTCCTTCTAACTAGTTACAGAATAGCAGGCGCCCTAAATAGGGTCCTAGAAGCCCGGATTTGTGCGGAGCAATAAAGGTAGAGTTTCCTTTTTTACGCATCAATGCAATTTAACGTAGAGCCCCTTAAACCCCCTGTAGTAATCGGATAAGATGAAACAAAGGGGTCGGAATGGGACCTTTGAAAGTCGAGCTTATCAGACCCTGAATATAATACATGTAAAAAGTTCGACGCCAAAAGTTGTTGTGAAAATTTCATTAACCGAAAACTTTATTTGGAGTCTTTATCGCTCTTTCATGGGTGGTCAATTGGCGCTTTTGAGTTTGAAAAAATCGAAAAAATTCCTTCATTAAAAACTGTAGTTTGGCTATTCAGAAATATCTAAATTCTACAAGAGCAAAATAAGGGAATGTACTAAGTTGTCGCAAAGGAGTATTGATATTGAAGTGAAACCAATAGCCAATAAAACTAAATTTCCATTTGGGGATGTTTCAATTCTGAGGAAACCCTTCAAG